AAGAAAAGAACAGAAATCGAACAGTGCAGAGAAACAGAGACTGAACACATCCACTTCTCGGGGCTTCCGGTGTCCGCCTCAGCCATTTCTTTCTCCTCGGGTTCCGACGCTGTATCCAGTTGAATACCTACTACTACGACGCTGACAAGTACTACTACTACTACTACTACTGCTACTACTACTACTACTACTACTACTACTACTACTACTACTACTACTACTACTACTACTACTACTACTACTACTACTACTACTACTACTACTACTACTACTACTACTACTACATACATCGCGGACGCATGACCCCCGACCTAAGAACCTTCGCCCCTAAATATCATGCTCACGTTGGAATCACGTGCGCTCGCTTTTCTGCTGCGGCCTGCGCCGCCGCCGGCTCCACAGTGAATACACCCTCTCACTGCTTCCCGGCGCGCAAAGCGGCACACATTTGTTCAACTGGGAAGCGCGGCGATTGGGAAAGCTGAAGAGAAATACGCCACGCGCCCGCCATCTCAGAGGCCATGGTCAGGTGCAGCGATCTCTTGAACGTGCTCCGGAAAAGGCCGGACGGTAGCGGATGAACCGTACAACAGCAGGATAAGTCACGTTGGCCGTGGTCGCTAGTACCATCGCTCTTTCCTATGTCTTCCTTGGCCGGCGAAGGGTTGGCACACCTGGTGAGGAGGGGGATGGAAGAGCTTTGGGAGGCAGGCAACCACGCTGTCGCCAGAGCTCTGTCGCGTCTGAGAAGGAGCAGTAGCGGCAAAAGAACTCACCCGGTTGTTTAGCGAGAAGCTTAAATGATCAGACGAGGGTGTCACAGCCGTGTCGGTGTGGGCTTCCTTGCGCAGGCTATACGAAGCGTCGTCGTCGCGACTTCTCTTGCTCAAGGCCGCAGCAACGTCAAAATCTTCCCGGTCCGTTGTCGACAGAGGTACCAAGGGATGGTCGTCTATAGCAGCAGCAGGTGAAGCGGCTGGGCCTAGCGAGTCGGAGGCTCCTGGGGCCTCCGTGGCCTTCGCTTACAGCCAGCCACCGGTGGCAGACGTAGCTTGCAGCTCCCAACGCTGCCTTTGTGGCCCACTGGGATCGTCTGCTTGGGTTGTCACTAAAGTGGTGCATATGCGAGCTCGTACAAGCTTAGCCCTTCGAAAGTCGGTGGAGAGCTGTCCGTAAGCAGCTGAGGCAGATGAGTCTCAAAGAATTTATTGGCAGGCTGGCCGCTCATAGTAAGGTGATTGTGTTGGAGGTTAGCGGAACATTCTAAACACGTCTGCTTACTTTAGCCTCTTAGAAAAAACTTCATTCCTGTGCTGATTTCCTAATGCTAGCGTGATTACGTGACACTCTCCTCTATTCAAAGCAACGAGGGGGCTGCAGGGCAGCGCCGTGATGAGTTATGTGAGTGAAAAGCCGAGATGTATTCCGTGAATGTCAGAATGCGCACAACGTAACGATGGCAGGTTTCAAACTTCTAGGAGTACGTAACTCTAATTGGTTTTCTTGGCCTACGTCACCTTATTCAATGGATTAAAGTTCCTCTTTCAAACTTGTATGCCTCCTGGCTGATGTTTATTGAACTTGGTAAGTAGAAAATGACACTATATTTTATTTCTCATGCAAACCGCAAGTTTCACTGAAGTGTTTGAAGCTTCAGATTGTTGAAGTTCTACTACGAAAGGATGTGTCACTGCATTGCGTAATATGTTTGCCATGTCCGTGTGATTACCAGTTAACTTCAACAGGCTGTCCCGTCTCGCCATGCATCCTTTGTGACAAGAGGCACATCCTTTCACGTAGATAACATTTGAACTAGGCCAGGTAAACGACGTTTTATATCACTGACGTAATCATTGCCCATGCTTTTACCTATCACACCATCTTGAAGGGCTTTGAAGTCTTGAGTTTGCACGAGAGCAAGGACGTTACGTGCGTGGTAGCATGAGGGTTCATGTAGGGTCAACTTAACGTAAATATTTTTTGTAAACACATTTTTGTATGAAGCTCAGTGTTAGCCAGTGTTGGATAAAACTTACAAGAATATTAGTTTATTACAGAGTGCATTTGGTTATAAATCCTGGATGTTAGTTATATTTTGTTATAAATCTAGGATGCTGGTGGGGTCGTGGTTCTGTATTCTTTTAGCAATTATTGCAGCAAAATGAGAGTTGGGCGTATCGGTTCGCTACAGACCGGCACAGCGCGAAAGCGGAAGCGCAAAGGCCGACTTGTGAACACGAGTGCCGACTGGCAACTGGTTGCTTTACTGAAGCGAAAGAAAAAAAAACAAATGACGAAAGAAGAAGAAACATGCACGCGCAGACGTAAGCTTACGTACTTTGAAACACATAATGATGTTAGAAGCAGGGTAGCCAACCTTTGAATGGCAGGGACCGTGGGTGTGGGGGGAGGAGGAAAGCGTACGCTAGCATAAGAGCCAGTAAAATCAGTGTTCTTCAAGTCGGTATTTTCTAGACAAGTTCATTGTCTGAATATTTTTTTCAGCCCCTAGAAAATGTAGTTCATTTGAGAAAGCTACGCACTGTTCACATCACTTGCTCTCACTGGAGATATGTACTCGTAAAAAGGTCACTCTTCTAGGGGAAGTTCAGCCATACTCTGGCTGAAGCCCCTTGCGGACGCCGCTAGCCAACGCAACTTTGCATCTTGCTTGCCATTCAAGCTAACACCGTGTTTTTGTAGTGGCACGCTCGTTCTTGGGTATGCGTTGGGTCAAACAGAAATTTATTATTGGAGAGTCTGGAACGCATGCGGGGCATCGAACTGTCCTGACAGAGATGGCGGGCTACTCGGAATGCTGTGTGATATGTTGGGTCATTTCCACGAAATCGGGGATGCTATAGCAGTGAAACACAGCAGTTCTAGTTCACCATAGGGAGTTTTTGTAAATCTAGTTACAAGTGCAATCTTTTCTTTTCATGAGCATAAGTCGCATGCGCATATTATGTTCTAATTGATATGCGGGGTATAACGTCGCAAAACCACCATATGATCATGAGAGGACGCCGTAGGGGAGGGCTCCGGAAATTTCAACCACCCTGGGTTCTTTAACGTGCACCCAATTTTGATCACATGGGCATACAATATTACGGACTCCATCCGTAATGCAGTCGCCGCAGCCGGGATTCGATCCCGCGACTTGCAGGTCAGCAGCCAAGTACCTTAGCCACAAGACCACCGCAGTGGGTAAAATATTACGTTCTTCTTTCTCATCTTTTCCTGTTAGCTTCGATGAAACAAGCATTTGGTACTCAGCCGTCATGCTGTCAAATATTTCTTCGGGTTCCGTTTTTTTTTGTGCAGTTCTACTCTGTCAGTGAGCATTCTTTTTCCTGTTCGCACCACAACAGTCATAGAAAACGCCATGTTGGCTCACGCGTAGCTAGGTTTTGGTGGTCCCACCTGCCACTTTTGCGGCATTCAATAATACTGCTTGACTGGCACAGAAACATGCCTCTGAACCTCTCGCTTCTTGGGCGAAGATGCCTACACAGCTGCCTTTTTTTCACTAGAAAAGAGCCATCGTATTGCACCTACGCTACATTGTGAAACCTGAGGAAATGCGTTGCACGGGCACCCAGTGAATTCCCAGTGCCACCTTACCAAACTGTCAATAACGCCACTGTGTGAGGTAAGCAGGGTTCTCACTGCAAGAGCAGTATCTTGCTAGGCCGATTCACATAGTTGGCGTGGGACATTTGCGCTACTGCTTGCTGTGATTTATAGACCTATTGCTTGTTACTGCCGATGCGACACGAGTCGGTTGCAGCGAGTTTGATGAGGTTGATTTTTCCGTCAGATTTAGGCACGTGAGAACAGCGGCATTCACTCGTTCGGTAAGGTAGTCGCACCTTCTTTTGCGTCCCACTGGAGTCCGCCCTATATATCACGAATATTTTAATAACTTCAGGTTGACTATTGAAATTAAATCTCAGCCTTTTCTGGCAAATGTACTACTTTACCTTGTTCAATCATTCAACTCGGATTTGACCACTAGTAGTTTTGTTATTTCCGGTATTCAACGCTTACTGTGAGCATTATCGCGCAACATAGCACATACGAGTGGACGATAAACCAGGCTTATGGTCGGCACTTTAAGTTCATGTGAACTTCACAAATGTTTGAGCTGAGTCGCAGCAGTGACTATTTCAACGTGTGTGCAACAAAGTAGTAATACACTAGAATAAAGTTTCCACCAAGTGAGCGCAGAAGTGCAGTCTCACAGCCTGCTTACCTCGACGACAGGGCACATTACTATACCTTTCACCTATTAAAGAATTCTTAAAATCAAATTTTACATGAAGGAGTAGGCCAGACATACGGCTACCACATTTCGTGTGTGGAATTCCCCAAATAAAATAAACCCTACAAAAGCACCCAGACAGCGTGAATGTCGTAATTCAGAAACCAAAAAAAACCTTGTCGCAAAAAATAATATTTAACTTATGAAAAATCACCTGATGATTGATTGATATGTGGCGTTTAACGTCCCAAAACCACCATATGATTATGAGACACGCTGTAGTGGAGGGCTCCGGAGATTTCGACCACCTCGGGTTCCTTAACGTGCACCAAACTTGAGCACACGAGCCTACAACATTTCCGCCTGCGTCGAAAATGCAGCCGCCGCAGCTGGTATATGAACCCGCGACCTGCGGGTCAGCATCCGAGTACCTTAGCCACTAGACCAGCACGGCGGGGCATGAAAAATCACCTGACAGCACAGCCAAAACGATGAAAGAGCTACCAAGTAATAGTCCAGCAGCTAAATGTTTGCATTCTCTATAGCAGAATCACTGCAACATTTTCACATCAGCAGTGCGCTGCTACATAATCTTTCCGATAGAAGGTGTTCATAGGAGAATATGAATTATTAAACAACTCTTTCTCCAAGTTTGCAAATGATACACCTAAAGAGTATGTGCTTTTTCGCATGCAGGTATCTGGTATTACAAATTGCTATGCCATACTTGTTTCAG